GGGGGACGGTCCCTTGCCTCCCTGAGCCCCGAGGTTAGGGTTAGGAACGCTGGGCCTGAAAAACGGCCTGCAGAGCTGCCCCCCCGCCCCCTCCTTTTCAGGCTCCACGCTAGAACGCTGGGCCTGAAAAAGGGCCAGCCGAATGTCAATATCGGCCCCATTATATCCTATGGGCCATTGAAGTCAATGGCAAAAACATAGGGTATATTCTGGGGGCTGGAGGGGAGGGTGTTTGAGGGAGAGGCTCCAAATGCGCAGGGTAGCTGTTGGAGCCTCTCCCCAAGATACCAACCATGTTTGAATAACATTGAACCAGGGGTCCAATTCTACGGGCCCCCAAACAGGTTGCCCCTATCCCCTCCCTTGTTCTCTATGATGGGAAAAAAGTAACTTTTTTGTTTTGGGGCCCATAGAATTGGACCCCCTGGTTCAATGTTCCTGAAACATGGCGGGTATCTTGGGGAGAGGCTCCAGCAGCTACCCTGAGATTCAGTCCCTTGCCAGTTTGCTCAGTTTCATGCACCTTTCTGCAAACTTGCCTATCACTGGTTGCTGCTAAACCCATCAACCAAGCAGCACTGGAGGAAGTCACTGGCAGTCATCAAGCAGCAGCCAGATGAACACTTGTCAGGGATGCTTTAGGTTGATCCTGCACTGAGCAGGGGATTGGAGTGGATGGCCCCTTCCAACTCCGTCATTCTATGATTCTAAGGCCATCGAGCACATGATAGCAGCAAAATAAAGCAGACTTTCTTTCTCTGTAATTTCTCTTCTTCTTTTCCACATTCTTCTCTTTCATTTTGCTCTCTTCTTCTCCTGCCTTCATCCCCCCACCCCACGTCCTTATTTTCTGTTCCGCCCCCCTATAGTTTTCAGTCTTGGGCTCTTCTCCTCCTCCTCTCTATTCTGGTTGTCATCTTGGTGTTGTTGTTACTGAAAAGTTAAGAGGTTAAGATGCAGACTGGAAGGTCTGTAATTTGGGCATTCGAGACCCTAGTGCTGCGTGATGGAGTGAGCTCCCGTCTCTGGCCTCAGCTCCTGCCAACCTAGCAGTTCAAAAGCATGAAATTGCAAGTAGATAAATAGGTAACGCTTCGGTGGGAAGGTAACAGTGTTCTGTGTGCCTTGGCATTTAGTCATGCTGGCCACATGACCACGGAAACATCTTTGGACAGCACTGACTCTTCGGCTTGGAAACGAAGATGAGCACTGCCCCTTGAGTTGGATTTGACTAGCTTTCAGGAAAGGGAAACCTTTACCTTTACCTTTTATCATTGAGATAACCTGGTCCAGGATATTCTGATTCTTTTTTTTTTTTAATAATTTTTTATTTGCATCATAAATTATTGTTACATTACTTTACTATCCCAATTCTCTTATGATACGTTTTCCCCCTTTTATGTCCCACCCCCCACAAGGTGAGCATCACATAACTACAAATTAAAATTTTAACCATGAACACATTTTTTTCAATTTTTCAAGTATAACGGAATTAGCTTCTCCATTGTTTACCCACTGAAAGTATATAGACCATTTCTTTTTTATCTCCTTCATTTTTCCATCCCATACCTTATTTTGTTTAATACATTCCAATATATCTGACTGGATATATTCGTATAAATAATCGTTCCATCTATCTAAAGACCACTTCAAACTCTCCTTCCAACCATATGCAATCACAGCATGCGCTGCTAGTAACATTGCTTTAAAGATTTCCTGATTTTGTCTCTCAATGTTACCATTTCCCATTATGCCCATAAATAATAAATCTCCATCTATTTTAAGATCCACTTTACATAACCCTACTATCTTTCCCCGTACCTTTTCCCAGAAATCTCTAACCCTTGGGCATTCCCACCACAGGTGAGAGTACCACCCTTCCTTTGCACCACAGTGCCAACAATTAGGTTTCATACCTTTAATCATGTATGCCAATTGGGCAGGGGTTCTATACCATTTCCAAATTATCTTTCTTTCAAGCTCTCTATATTTTTCTAATTTAATTTTCTTCAAATTCACCATTAGTTTATTGATGTCGTCAGAGATTATTTGTTTTTCTTTATTCCATTTATTTTTTAAGGTTCTTAATATAAACTCCTTATCTTTCACCAATTCAAGGTAAATTTTCCCTGCTAATCCTTTCCTTATTTTATCCACATATAATACCTGTTCTAAATTGTTGTCTTCCCTTTTTATAGCTTCTATATACCTATCTTGTTTAACCAAGTGTGATAGTCCCCTTAGATTTAACCAATAATTTTCCCCTATTCTTTGATTCAGCTCCTGAAGTGGTAGGAGATTCCCTTGAGAATTGTACATATCCTTAACTCTAGTTATGCCTTCCCCCTTAAGGGCTTTCCAGAATTTCGCATTCATCTCCTCCTCCCAAATATACTTAAGTGGGATCCACTTTGAAGTCTGGGGCAACAGAATCGTCCTACACTTCTTCCAAGTCATCAAAGCTGATTTTCTTGGACCCATTGCTTTTCCTATCTCCTTTCGCAAATCTCTAGTGTATATTCCATAGCTACCCACCCCCTTATTAATTGCTGATTCAAATCTTACCCATTTATCCTCCACCATCCATTCCATCGCCATTAGTGCCTTCAACTGAAATGCGTCATAATAGGCTTGTAAGTATGGTAGTCCCCATCCCAAATCATCTTGAGGCATATACACCAATTTTTTTGATATTCTTGCTTTTTTTCTACCGAACACCCAGCTTTTAATCTTTTCATCCCATTTCCCTAATACTTTCTGGTCAATTTCTATTGGGAGTACCTGAAATAGGTATAACATCTTTGGTAATAGGAACATTTTTGCTGCTCTAATTTTCCCCAGAATGCTCAGATGTTTGTTCTTCCATTCCTTCATTTTCTTTATTATCTTTGACCAGGTCTTACTGTAATTAATTTTATGTAACCTCTCTGTATTTTTGTCAAGATATACTCCTAGATACTTAATTTTGCTAACATCTGATTTCATCCCTGTTAAAGCTAATATCTCACTTTTAGTATCCCTATCTACATTGAGAAACATTATTTCAGATTTTTTAATATTAACGCCAAGCCCCGAAATTAACTTGAAATCCTCTAGAATAATTAGCAATTCTCTTATTGCCTGCAATGGGTTAGTTAGTGTCAGTAAAATATCATCCGCAAAGAGGTTTAATTTAAGTTCTTCCTTAGCTATTTGGAATCCCTGAATTCTGCCACTATTTCGAATCCTATCTGCTAGAGGTTCCATTGCCAATGCAAATAACATTGGGGATAGTGGGCAGCCTTGTTTTACTCCTCTCTGAATTAAAATTTCTCTAGTATGCCCTCCATTTATCCTAATTGCTGCTTTGCCGTCCCTATATATTTCCCTTATTGTATTTAGGTATGGTCCACTGAATTTAAATTTTTCCAATACCTGCATTAGATAATTATGATTTAAGGTATCGAATGCCTTGTATACGTCTAATTTTAATAAAGTTAAATTTTTCTTATTTTTGCAAAATAAGGCATTTAATATATTTCTCAACGGGTGGGCTATAGATCTGTTTTTAACCAAACCATATTGGTCCTCCTTAACTAGTTTTGGCAGAATATTTTCCAGTCTATTGGCTAACACTTTTGCGAAAATTTTATAGTCCTGATTCATTAAACTAATCGGTCTATACGAATTTACATCCAAAGGGTCCCTCTGGGGTTTTAATATTGGCACTATTTCAGCTTTCTTCCATGAATCTGGGGTTTTACCGCCTTCTAATATATAATTAAACAGACTTTGCATTTCTGGGATCAGCAGGTCCGCCATTTCCTTATAGTATTCCCCCGTAAATCCATCCAATCCAGGTGATTTCCTATTTTTTAATCTCTTTATTACTTCTGCTATTTCCTGCCTTGTAATTTCTTTATTTAAGTTTTCCCTTTGTTCCGTTGTTAATTGCTTATCCAATTGTTCCTAAAATTTTTGACTTTCCCCAGAATTAAACAATTGTTGATAAAATTTAGCAAATTCCTCTCTTATGTAATCATTTTTGTAAAGCTTTCCCCCCCCCGGATATTCTGATTCCTTTCATTTCTTGGCACTGGAATTCCCACAATCATCCTGAAGCTGATGGTCAATTCATGCCAGCCACAAATGGACAGACAGAGGGACACACTGATTCTTTTATTATTAGATATTCATGGTAACAGCAAGCCAAGTGGTTTGTTTTGTTATGATATTTGGTCTGGATCAGGGTCAAATTGGGTGGCTCAGGTGGAATCTCTCGGCTTCTTCACCCACTCACTCAAGGCTCCTTATAAAGACTATGGCGATTCCCAGCTGATGGTCTCCTTCACAGTCTGCCATCTTGTGGTTCTTCTTGGCTCACCTTCCTCAGCAACACATTTTCTTGGCCTTTGACGATGCATTGTTCTGGCATCCTCCTGTTGGGATAAAGGACAACCATGGTCCAGAATTGCACCTCAGCTGCTCTGCTCAGACATTATGCCAAACATCATGGTTTGAATGAATCATAGTGTAGAACCCAAACTCAAGTTCCAAGCTGTTGTTTTCTATCGGCTCAGCTCAGTATCTCTGTCTCCAAGTGCAGCAACCTCCAGAGGTGGTGGAAGAGCCTTTGGCTGATTTCACACAAGGAGCTGTGCCGCCGTCACACTTCCCTTTGCCTTGTTTCCATCGGTCAATTTCCCACTCAAAGCTGCATGGCCGCATTTTGATCTACGGCTTCGCCCGATTTTCCCCGCGGTTTCGTGATCTTCAAAAAACAGGATCACAAAACTCTGGGGAAAATCGGGTGAAACCGCAGGTCAAAATGCGGCTGCGCGGCTTCGAGTGGAAAATTGACCAATGGAAACGGGGCAAAGGGAGGCGTGACGGCAGCGCAGCTCCTTGTGCAAAATCAGCCATACTGATGTTTTCTTAATTCACATCAAACCAAAGTTAGCACAAGCCAAGATTTGCAAACCCACTTCAAGCCACAGTTTCTGGCTGGCAAACGAGAATAAGTTGCAATCCATGACATATCTGTTCAAAGCTCAATTAAGCTTCCTGTTAGGGTTGCTAACAGGGACAGGACACATTTCTCCTGGCCAGTTGGCAACTCTGCTTCCTTTTTGGATTGAATCAATGTATTTGAGCATCAAGTACACCTGTAAACATAACTTCAGGTTTTTTTATGTGAAAAGAGAACTCCTGGAGTCAGTCTTCTGAGGCGAAAGACTGGCCTGCTCCCAAGAGCAAAATGAAAAATTCAGACCCTGTTCCAAGGAAACCCATTCTCTCCTCCGAATACGATCCTTTCCACATTTGCCTGCCATTACGGATCTTCTCAGTGTTCGAGTCAAGGCAATTTAAGTCCACAGCAAAACAGCATCAAAGTAACCAGGGGCAACAGCAGGCTGAAACCGGGCTGACCACTGAAGGGAGGTAATGTAATACAGAATGGGGGAAAAAACCTGGAATAAAAAGGAGGTTGAACTTGATTTTAGTGCAGAATTGCTTTGAGGACACTGTGGTGAACATGTATTAAGAGGAGAGTGCAGAAAGGGCCAACATTAGAGCAAAGTAAGAACTCCCACTGAGTCAGACCAAAAGTCCATCACATCTAGCATCCTGTTTCCAATGGTGGACAGCCTCTGTGGAAAGTTCAGAAGGAACCCAGAGAACTTCCAGGCCAGAGGCGGGATTTGAACCTGGGTCTCTGTGATCCTAGTCCAGGGGTACCTAAGCTTTTTGAGCCTTAAAGCACCTTTGGAATTCTGACACAGGCCTCTTAGGCACGCACAGCTTACTGTGGAGAATCCAAGCTGTCTAGCTTTTAAGCTTGACTTTGGATTCTGTGCCCGTAGTACTCACCATTCTTTTTCTCTGGTGTATTTATTCTGCAGGCCAAGCACTGGTCTGCCTTCTCCTGCCACCCGGTTGAAACTGGGCAGTGGGAGAGGGCAGCCCAGTTGGGAGTCATTTAATTTTTTTTTTACAAGTGACACTAGACTAGCAATAGTCTCATATTAGACTCATTCCTATTGTAAAAAAAATTAAAACCAATGAATAGCGGAAGGTACATAGTGAGTGGAATGACCTTGATGTGGGTGTGGAGTGACCTTTGAGTGGCAGCAAAGGGGCAGGGGGAAATCTGAGGGAATCTGTAAGTTTTTGAATTACTTTAGGCTCAGAAGAGAAACAAGGGGAAAATCAGCACAAAAGCACTCTCAGAAAACCTGGAGAAACAGCGATCAGAAAGCAAACTGAGCACTGAAGGGGGGGGGAATCAATGCAGAATGAAAAAGAAAACCCGATGGACATGCACAGTGAAAGTGAGGCAAAACACCCGTGCATAATGGGCAACAGTGTGCTGGGCGCAGCCACAAAATGGCTGCCACATCTTACCTTCATTAACAAAGTGAAGATTCTTGAATCTGCACAGCCAGTCAAGTTTCCAGTGGCCAATCAGAAGTCTTGCTGGGCAAAATCCCCACCTGGCACTGCCCACTGTCTAAAAATACTTGGGGGGCACCAGGAAAGGTGTTGGCAGGTGCCATGATGCCCACAGGCACCACATTTGGGACCCCTGTTCTAGTTGAACATTCAGACCAGAGCACCATGCCACATCACATCACCATATGATGGCCATCCCCGGTTCTTTGTCCCAAGCCTGTATCCATGGACGGTTTGCTTAACTATCATGGCTAATACCTGTTGAAAGTTCTTGTCTCCTCAATGAATCTGTCTAAATAGAGTTGTGACATTTGAATGTGAGACTCAAATCCCATAGCCGTTATGCTACACCAGTTCTTTCTAGGCGATGCCACCTCTACCTTGTGTACGTCGCGCACCTTGCTGGTGCTAATCTGTTAGCAAATACGAGTGGATGAAGCAGCCCTGCCTTTCTGAAAGTCACTCACCCGCTCTCGACATCCTCAATGGTGTCTGGAAGTGGCACATTGCGTGTCTCCGGCAGGAAGATGGCAGCAATCCCTGACAGGATCGTGGCTGTTCCGTATATGATCGGCGGGAGGTATGGGAAATATTCCCCCGTTATCCTTACCATCGGTGCCACTATGCCCCCCACACGAGCCAGGGTGCTGCCCAGCCCCATCCCGGTCTGTCTGCAAGTGTAGAAAACAACCTTTAAAGGAGAAACCATAGAATTGTAAAAACAAAGAGCAGGTTTCTTTGGATTCTTTAATCAAAAATAGTGACCCAAAATGTTCAGTGGATCAGAGTTTCTTTTCCCCCACTAGGCTGCCTGGAGATATGTGCTTTGGACATCCATGTGCCCACATCCACTTCTCCATGCAATGACTCCTAGGCAGGTACTCCTCTGAATATTACTGCACGGATAGGTGGATGACAAGGGAGGGGTTGCTCCAGGATTGCATTTCTGACAGCTGCTTCCCTGCTTGATCTTGCATGTATGATCAGAATCTCGTTGCTCCCACAGAATTTTTTAAAAAACCAGCAGCTTTCAGTCTGGTCAGCGTTGCTCCATAGCAAACTTTGGAAAGGTGGTACAGTAGCTGGCAGCACTTATCAAAGCCAACTGCTCCTTCCCGTTTTGTACTGCCTGCTCTAACTATTTTTTTGTTTGCCATCAAGTCACAGCTGACTTACAGCAACCCCCGTAGGATTTTCAAGGCAAGAGACGTTCAGAGGTGGTTCACCATGGCCTGCCTCTGCGTCACGACCCTGCACTTCCTTGGTGGTCTCCCATCCAAATACTAGCCAGGGCTGACCCCGCATAGCTTCTGGGATCTGCAGAGATCAGGCTAGCCTGGCTGCTATCTGGGTGGAACCAGGGAAATCCAAACTTATCCACCCACACAGCAGCCACCCATGCTTTGCTGTGATCTTTCCCAAAGCTTCAGAGCAAAGCGGGTTTCAGAAAGATTGGAGAAAAGCTGAGGAAATCCCAGGAGGTACACAAATGCCCCACAATGCCAGCTCCTCTATATCTCCCAGCTATTGGCATTAAAGCTATGAGCAGTAATTTGGCTACTGCATAAATGAGTTTGCTCTGGAGCTATCCTTCCTGAGCTAAGAGAAAAATGTGTGAGCCGGAGGCTAAAAAACTGTGAGCTAGCTCACACTAACTCAGCTTAGAGGGAACACTGGTTGCCACCAAACAGCCCCATCGCACCTGACATGGCTGGCATGATGACATCACCTGGCGGTGATGTCATTGTGCCGGGCATGTCATACAAGGGACACTCTAGCACTCTATGGTGACCATACAGTTTTTAACCCAAATGCTAGAGCCCCCCAAACAATGTGCCCGACATGATGATGTCACTTCCAGGTGATGTCATTGTGGCACGCACACCAGAAGACCCTGGGAGCCAGGCTGGAGCCCCCCACCGGGACACAGGTAAGACCTGGCAACCCTACTTCCAGCTGATCTCCAGCTGACAGAGATCAGTTCCCCTGGGGAAAATGGCTGCTTTGGAGGGTGGGCTCTATAGCACTGTGCCCTGCTGGCGTCCCTCTCCCCCACAGACTCTGCCCTCCCCGGGCACCACCTCCAGATCTCCAAGAATTTTCCAACCCAGAGTTGGCATCCTTGGTCAACCAGGAAAACCCCACTTCCCATGGGCACTGAACTTAAAACAAGTGAGTTTCTAAACCCAGAGATCTGTCAGCTATGCTGCCATGGGGGTTGGGATGTTCTTTCAGTGTCTGTGCACATTGCTTTCGCATTCCTTTCTCTCTGCTTTGTGCTGAAATGCTTATCTCTAAAGAAGTACAGGTGGCGATGTGTGTTGTCTGCCTTCCAGGCCAGCCGTGGGAGCCGAACAATTCCCAGCTTCACATAGTAACGCTTGCCGGCTCTAGCCCGCGCGCGGGAGGGTGCCTAATTGGCCAGCGCAGTGGGGTGTGTGCATACGAATGCCCTATATCTCATTAGGTTCAAGAGGCAACCGCTATTCTTAACAGTGACTATGTTAATGCATCTATGGCTCTTCAATAAAAGTATAACCTTTCTAAGGAAGTGTGTACTCCGTTGTTGGCTGTGGGTTCTGACAAGATCTTTCTTACACCCAATCTCAGCCATAATCACCCCCATACTTATGCATCTTGACTCTAAGTGGCCCTTCCTGACAACACCTCCCCCCCATCCCATATAAGTAATGGCTGAGGAGGTTCTGTTCCACTGTGTCTGAGGACGTGTGCTTGCACATGAACGCTTATACCATGAATAAAACTTTGTTGGTCTTAAAGGTGCCACTGGACTCAAACTTTGTCGTACTGTTATCGCTGTAACCCTCTTTTCAGTCAAACTTTAGACAGGTGTTGTTGTTTTTTTGGCCATAGGTTCTTTTGCTTGCATCGTTTCCCAGTTCTTCAGCCCTAGCCCCACTGCATTGTTCTGTTCATTAGAGACCTTTGCTGTTTAACTGAACTGTTAGTATCATATTTTGTAATCCGCTTTGAGTCTTAAGTGACAAAGGGGGGCTATAAACAAAGATGACAACAACGATGATGACGATGATTTCCTTTAAATTTAAACAGCTACACCAGCTAGGTTGCCAGCCCCCCCCCCGGGCCACCACCAGGGGATGGGGGAGGGAAGGGTGGCCAGATCTGGGTTGGGAAACGTCTGGAGATCTGGGGGGTGGGTGGAGCCTGGGGAGGACAGGGACCTCAGTGGGGGTTCAGTGTCACCGAGTCCGCCCTCCAAAGCATCCATTTTCTCCAGAGGAACTGATCTCTGTAGTCTGGAGATGAGCTGTGATTCCGGGGGATTCCCCAGGTGCCACCTGGGGGCCGGCACCCCTAACACCAGCCCAAGTGTGCAGATATGCAATTGTCCTTTTACGTACTAAAAATAAAACACCCATTTTTTACAAGAGGACTCAGCTCAAGGCATGGCAGCAACAAACAGGAGAGGGTAGGAAATGTACCTGATCACTGTTGGGTAAAGTTCTCCTGTGTACAGATAGAGACAGTTGAAGGATGATGCCAGGCATCCTTTCCCAAGTACCGCCAGGGAGGTTCTCAGGGTCCGGAGATCTTTGACGGGGAGTACAGAATGGAGGCAAAACAAGAGGTTTATTGAGAGGTTTACTGTTCAGGTTTCTAGTCTTGGCTGAAGGGTTTTCACTACTTGGGGCGAGGACAACATGACCACCGTAGGAAATAAGATGCTGGACTTCATAGATAATTTGTCTGATCTAGCATGCTCTTAAATCCTTATAACTGTTCCAATGAGTTTAATAATATGGGGGTGGCCTCTGAGCATGTGCAGAATGCTCATCCTTCACCATTTTATAAAACAGCCAACTCCAACACATGTGGGTTGGCCCCAAACAGTCCCAGACTGTGGCCGATTCCCCACAAGCAGCTGTGCCACCCTTGCTCTTCTGTTTGCCCCGGTTGCATTGGTCAATTTCACACTATTCGCTGCACAGCTACATGACCCACATCTCCCCCCGATTTCCCCCATGTCTTCTCGGTCTAACAAGGATCAAGAAGACATGGGGGAAATCGGGGGGAGATGTGGGTCATGTAGCTGTGCAGCGAATAGTGTGAAATTGACCAATGCAACCGGGGCAAACAGAAGAGCAAGGGTGGCACAGCTGCTTGTGGGGAATCGGTTTGTGTTATCTGAGAGCACGGCTGCCAACTGAACAATTTCCCAGCAACATGACCATGTCCCCTCTTTCTTCTGGCCAGTTACCCCCTACCCCTGTTATAATGGAAGGACTGAGAGAAACACTGTTTTTAAAAAAACCATTTAAAGGATTTTAAAAAATTCTTATTTATAATAATATACTTTATTGTCACTGTACATAGTACAACGAAATTTATCATTTCCCTCATGACTGGAATGACTCATATAAAGTTATTTCAGCCATGAGGGAAATGGAAAAGAAGGGTGTGCAGGTGAGTAGCTTTTAAAGGCCATTTTGGCTCCCTTCCTCTCCCTGGATTTGTTGCGGACCAGCTCCCCCTCCTTGCCAGATTTGCAACTTCCAAGGTTTGATAACTTTATTTGAGTGTTGTACTCCTTCCCATCCTCCCTAAGATCATTTGCAATGCCTTGGAGGATTCTGGGAAACCAGCTGACCATCTTTGGCTGGTTGCTTGCAACCTCTGCTCTGGGAAGACTAGAGAAGGGAGTCATTCTGAGCTTTTACAAAACAACATGCCACCCTCCGCTCTTCAACCATAAAGTCTGTATGCCCCAACAGTATCTCACCATTGGGCACAAATATATTGGCCAGGATGGCCAAGCCAGCCAAAATAACGGACAAAGCCTGCGTGGTTCGCCGTCCAATGTAGTTCATACCGATGGCAGCAATCAGCTTGGCAGGGATATCGATGGAACCAAAAGCCACCTGGATCAGGTAGATGCTGAAACCGAAGTTCTGAAGATCCATGACGAGGCCATAATAGGAGAAACTAGTAGCAAACCTGATGAAGGAGTGTAAGGACACAGGAAAGAAAGGCAGTAAATGCCAGCTCCTGGTTGTTGCTATCAGTCTAAATGGGCTATGCCATCACATACAACAGGCATAATGGTGAATGTGATTACCACAGCCTAGGGGGCATGGCTGGTGCTCATTACTGAAGTGGCAGAGTCCCTACCCACATTCTTAGAAAACTGAGAGGACCCTGATTTCACATTAGCAAGATGGGCCTGCCCTTTGTTCTGACAAAGGACTCGCAGCCCCCCCCCCCAAAAAAAGTACCTTTGTGGACCCCAGTTTGAGAAATGTGGATCTAGCATACCAGACACTGGAAATACAGAAGGAGATCCGGCGTACAGTGGGTGTACGGGCCAAGCTGACGAATGAGTATGAGGAATTTGCCAGGGCCATTTCTTTCTGCATGTTAGATTTCAAAACCTGCAATAAAACACAGAGCAAATCAAACAATTTGACTAGACGCCTCTGTAAATTTAAGTGTAAAGATGTGTTGCTGGTGACCAAGATCAAGATAATTCATGCCATAGTATTCTCTGTTACTATGTATGGGTGTGAAAGTTGTACAACGAAGAAAGCTGACAGGAAGAAAGTTGGTTAATTTGAAATAGGCTTGCCAAGTGACGCGACCACGCCGGGCACGCTGGGGGCGGGGCCACGGTCATCCGAGGGAAAACTCTATGGCCCTCCGGGAGTCCCCCGCTGCGGCGAAAATTACACTTGGCAACCCTAATTTGAAATATGGTGTCGAGGGAGAGTTTTATGGATACTGTGGACCGTGAAAAAGACAAATCAAGGTTTTAGATTCTAGAATCTAGGTTCTAGATTCAATCAAGCCTGAATTCTCCCTAGAAATTAAAATGACTAAACTGAGGCCATCCCACTTTGGTCACATTATAAGAAGACAAGAGTCACTGGAAAAGACAATAATGCTAAGAAAAGTTGAAGGTAGCAGGAAAAGCATAAGATGGATGGACTCCATCAAGGAAGTCACAAAGCCCTTGGTTTGCAAGATCTGAGCTGTTAACAACAGGATGTTTTGAAGGTCATTAATTTATAAGTTCGCTATAAGTCAGAAGCGACTTGATGGCACTTAGTACACACCACTTTGAATGTTTCCCTGTTTTTTCTTGATCACCATTTTTTACTCCATTCCAGGGCCTCAGCAGCTAAGTACAGGCTTTGTACAGGAGGCTATGGCATGAAGTTTGGCGACTTGGAACTCTCAGCTTCCAAATTTTTTAAAAATACCTAAGCTTAGTGAACTGTTTGTTTCATTGTCGGTTGCTGGAGGCAGTGGATAGGTTTTTCAGGCTGTTGAAAATGGGTCCTACTGCTGGTGGTGCGCTCGTTATCCCTTGTTTTATCTCAGATGAATAGGGACGGTCAAGTTCTTGAACTCTGCAAGATCCTTTTTGTTTACAGGTGGCATGTAAGTGTATACCACACACCTCTCAAAATATTCTTTTTAAAAAGCTTTTATATTCAACAACAAAAATCTGACTGCAGCCTAAGAAAGCCCCAATTTTAATTAGAATCTCCATCCTTTATAACTTATTGTGTTTCCTTGCTCAAGAAGCCCTGTGATGAGATTACCACTAATATTACCATTTCACAGAACGGGAAAACTGAGGCTGATTTGACTGATGACCACATTAAACATTTCAATCCCTCCCTCCAGCCTTATTTATGCTATAAGGGTTTACCTTGGATTTATCACTGACTTGAAGTCAATGCAGAAGGTATGAATTGTGATTTGGGTAAGATTGGCTGGTCATGAAACAGCCATTGTTGTTTGAACTCACCTTGTCAAAAACAAGGCCAAATATTTGTGAAGTGGCCCAGTTGTGTTTGATAATGAAATGTAGAGCTAAGAGTGGTGACGGACAGTTATTAGTAAGTGAGAGTAAATGTCTGGGGAGATGCTTTCCTTCCCATGGTATAGGCACAATATATATATATATATATATATATTTTGCCCAAAGTTGCTTCCAGTAAAACAGGTTTCTGAAACAATACAAAAACTCATTTTGACCAGAGGCAAAAATAGAACATGTACACACTCCAGAAGCATCCACCTTCAGCTCTCTGAAGCAACTCTTGTTTTTGTTTCCAGGTGGCAGGAACAGGGAATCCAAGTGGCCTCAAAGAATTGAGGAAAAACTCTCCACACACAACTCCCTCTAGTGACAGCAAAACCCAGTGTTGCCTGGTGACTGACTGGAAACAAACACTGATCTTCTGTGAGTGATTCCACGTGATAGAGAAGAGTAGAACCTGTTATTGTTGCTGCTGTTATCTATATATCTAATTCCCAACTTGCCCCCTCCGTGCGGATACTTAAATCAGCATGGAGGGGGCAGCTGGGGGGCTGGGGGAGGTTTGTGCACACGTGGGCCAGTCCCCACGTGTGCACAAAAATATAAAAAAAATAAAAAATAATTCGGGGGGATGTTAAAATCCCCCCGAAAGTGCAAGAGCGTCTCCTGCGCGTGCGCAGGAGACGCTCTGCGAA